GGCGGACGAACTGCCTGACGACACCTTCCACCATTCGGGTGGTGGAGTCTGTTGAGAGTGTGGGGAAAGCCGAGGCGGAATGGTAGCGGGAATTAAGAGCACCCAGTATTTGTTGGGGCTCTATGCATAGATTAATAAATTATAAGCCGCCGCTCACTGAATGGAAGTCGCTCTGATTACACTCACAGAAAAGCCAAGGCATGGCATGTGCATGGCATGTGCATCTGAAGAAGTGAGGCAAGGAAAGCAACAACAAGCCAAGACCAGCAGGAACTTACGCTCTCTTGGGCAGAGAGAAAGCTAGAGACTAAGCTTCAGAGAGTGGGTGCGGGAGAGAGTCGAGTGTGTGCTTGACCTTGACTTGGGCTTGAATCAGTGCAAGACGTTAGAAAAAGAAGCAGCAGATGATCGCATGTAAATCAGGAAGATTAAAATGTATTTGCAAGAAGAAATTGTCTTAAGCCGTGAATGAAAGCTTCTCTTTGGCCAGCTTTGGACCTTCGGTGCTCTCCTTTAATGAAAGACCAATAAAAATTCGCTGCTCTTATTTGTATTTTCTCTGAGTGTAAATGCTGTTGTACTGTTGTTGGTACTTTCTTTTCATTTCAACTCCTGAGTCCCCCGTGCACATGTACATTCATCTTCCCCTCTCTTTCCATTCATTTGTGCCTCCTCCGCTGCCATGTGAATGTGGAGCAATTAATGTTTGTGTTTTGTCATTTCATGCCCAGCAAATGCTCCTTCTGCTGCTCCCCCCGCCACTCACTGGGCTCTTCTGGCTTGATGTTCTTACATTTTATGCGCATAATTAAGCCGGTGTATCCGTAAAAGTATGCGACACTTCCGGCTCGGACAACCAGCTCTCGGCAGCATCCATCGTGGTGGAGTCCAGACCATGGTCTGTCTCTCCCCTTTTATTTATTTTCTGTATTATTATTCCGTAATACAATTCATTGAGAATTGACCACGCTTCTGCTCCTCGGGGCTTACTCTTTTGATTGGCCCTTTGCTTCCCTTTCCACATGCTTCGCAAGGGGAAAGAGAAAGAAAGAAGCTCAGGAAATGCCAGAGCACGAATGCAACAGTCGTTGAGAAGGAAATGCGACCAGATTTTTTCTTGATTTATAATAAATATGAAATTCAAGCAATTCCAAACAGAAGAACCATCATCATCATCGGATCTTAAAACAATTATCTATTTTGACAGTTATTTCCTGCTCCATTCAGTCTGTCAATGATATCTTTGACTACCCCCCTTTATGGAAAATCATCTTGGAAGATCTCTGTAATTATAGTTTCTGTTTTATATCATTTCTCCCACCCACTCCCACCATTTTATAGATCCATAATTGTGGGATACTTGAGCCACTAATTGAGGTTCTCTGAGGGTGTCTGTTCACAGTACGAATATCTATAAATAAAAGCTGTTTGGAACCTGTTTTGTTTTCTATTATTTTTCTTATTTTGATCATTTTGGGGGGGAACATCTCGAATAGTTTGTGGAATGGTAACTGGGGGGGAGTATAGAGAATGTTCCCATCTCAATTCCCATCTGATATTGATTGTTTGCACTTTGTTTTTTCTGTTTCTCTGTTTTTCTGCTTTGTCAACAGTTTTCTTTCTACTATTTTTTCTTATTTGTTTTGTGCTGCTGCTGTTGCTTGCTGCTGTCTTTTGCCTTGGTTCATTGATTAAGGCTCAACATTTACGCCAAGTTGGCATGTTTGACTTGTCTTCAGGCCTAATCCTCTCTGCTACTCCCCCATCTGTACCGTACCGCAACGAACTTTGATAACTGTATATGGCTTATCTGGCAGACGAAGAGACAGAGAGAGGAGGAAAACATCATTTTGACACATGTCATAGGCAATGAACAAACACACACACACACACACACAGTGACAGAGAGAGCATGGAGGAGGGGGAGCGACCGAGAGGCAGAAGTCCGGTTACGTTAGGTTACCCCCCCAAGAGATTCGCACTCCGTACTACGCTGCTCCGCTGCCCCACTCTCTCTCTCCCATGTAAGCCTCAAAAAAACAAATCACTTGAGGGCCCCCACTCCCCCCCAGTGGCGCGCAACTTGGATTTATTTGAATTAAGAGCATACTTAAGCGTAATTTATTGGAAAATCCACAAGCGAGTCGGGGGCCAGAGTGAGAGATAGAGATACCATAAATCTAGGGCCACTCTCAAACCACGGTTTGAGGTCGCGTCATTAAGAAGCAGATGACATTCCGTCCAGCCCCCGCCCACCACGCTACTCTTCTTCGTACTCCTCTTCCACTGGCACTCTTTTTGTTTGTCCAAATGTCTCACTCTTTCACTTTTATATTTCGCGCGCTATCTCTTAATGTCAGACCAAATGGCAGCATGGAATGGGAAGGAGTAGTGGAGGAAGGTCCATCCATGTGGGTCTCTGTTTGTGTGGGCGTCTGTCCGTTCTGTTGGCATAAGGATTGTATTAGGTCTGGTTTCATCTGTGTTTGCTGTGCTCCTAAGTTATGGCAAAGACTATTAAATAACACGGAATACTCGTAACTCCATTGCCATAAACTACTTCTAGTGGATTCTCCACTTTCATGCTCCAGTCGATAGACTCCATAGACTCCACACCATACGTTAGTATGTTTAGAAATTAATTCATTTACCAATTTAAAAGTTTTCTTATCAAAGCAGGGCCCAGGCACTGCAACCTTTGGCCTCCTCTTAGGAAAAATCCATCAAAAATTTGTATTCTGTTATGACAATGCACTTAAACTAAAGAGCTACAAATAATCCAGCTAAAGTAAATCCAAATTGAATTTTAAGATTATTTTGCACTTTTAATTAAAAGTTTCATTTATAATTTTCATTTTCCCATCAACGGGTAAATACCCTGGAAAAAATTTAATCCAAATTGGATGACTAGTTGAAGCCGATGCCCCATCCATTCTATGCTTAGCCTCTTCTTTGTGTACTTCTTTGAGGCCAAGAGAAGAACGAGTTATTGGCATGCATTGAATTTGCCATGGAATTTGTTGGCTTGAAGGGGTTCGGTTCGGCTCTTGGGCTCTCCGGTTCTCCGGTTCAAGATTGTCCGTAGGGGGAGGCAGTAGAGGCAGCCAAGCAAAAGAGTAGACAATCAGTGGCATGTATAGAATTTCACTGATTTATGTTTCATAAGAGACGGCGACAGAGCGAGAGCGAGCCCAGGACGAGGACGAACAGGCTACAGAGGCTGAGATTCCCTCAAGGCAAGAGTCTCCCGTCTCTCCACTACCCATCCAGGGTGACAATGCAGTGATTACATCTTTTGAGCACCATCATAGCACCTCCCACCTCCCCTCCCCCACTCCAGCACACACATTTCCTTGATGGGAAAGGCAATGGCATGCCTTTGCTGTTCGACAAAATATTTTCCGCCTCTGGAAAAGCGCTTTCAGTGGGAGAAAGAGAAAGAGTGGCGGCAACGGGCGAGTGGCTGATAAATTTTTGATTAAAGGCCCTTCTCCAACATATTCATACGAGTTCGAGTTTCCGTGCATGCTTTTGATAGGTTCCATGGATATGATATGCATTATGTGCGTTTGCGTGTGCGTGTCTGTACATATTTTTATCGTATGTTATATCTGGGGGGACTGGGAGCTTGTTCAAATTACATTTGACATTCAATTGAGTTTTCTCTTGATTGTCGATTAAGAGAAAGAGAGAGGTGGAGGTGGAGGGAGAGACCGGACTGATGATTGCTCCAGTTATCCAATAACCGAAAATTCCATACTCGGAAATTGGATTGAGAATCAGAAATCAGAAATCAGCATCAATCGCGTCTGTCAGTTATCCAAATGTTAATTTAAACAATTAATTTGGGAATACAGCTAGAAAGGGACGGAACAAGACCGCCCAGCCACGAAGAGAGTGTAACAGAGAGAGAGAGAGAGAGAGAGAGAAGCGGGAAGGGAGAGAATGTATTTAACATGTCAATTTGCAAATTAAGAACACGTGACAGTGCGGAGAGAGTTGTGGAGAGGGGATGAGCGAGAGAGAGAGAGAGACGAGACCACCGCAGAGCCAAATATAGATCGAATTATTCTACACTAAATGAAGACTGGCACTTGAGAGGGTCAGCAAAGGAAGGGAGCAGAGAAAGAGATGCAGATGCTGATGCCGATGCCGATGCAGGGCAAAAGAATCATTAGAATCACTAGATTTAATTGGGCCAAAGTGCTCTTAAATATGATTTGTGTGTGTGCTGTGTGGACTCTCCACACAGAGGCAAGAGTCAGCAGGAGGAAGCGGAAGACAATCTCAAGTAGATTTGTAGATCGGAGTAATTAAGAGATGCTACTCGCAGCTCACAGCAATGCAGATTACAGATTGCCTCCGACTCTGGTGCTGGTTCTGGTTCTGATTCTGGTAGATTAGGAATGGAATTTGAGGGCATAGCTCAGAGTTTTCAACCATTTTCAGTATAATAATATCCGTATGTACTCGTGAGAAGAGTAGCTCTCCCTGTAGCTCCTTTATTTTTGAACATCCTTAAGGAAAAACCACTCTGCAATTAGCGATTATAAATAAAAAGAGAAGAAGCCTGAAAACACATGTTATCTAAACATCAGATAATGATTGGTAGGTTCCCTTGAGCTGATTGCCACCGCTGGCTAGCGGTGTGGTGTCCTCCCTCCGACAGGTGTGTTTCTCTGTTCCAAGGGTTGCAATGCGCAGGGGTCACAAAGCAGAGGGGGGCGGGGCAGTGCCCCTCCACTAATTTGATGGTTAGGCAATATATCATTGGATCTTTTGGAGTGTGACAGTTGAGAAATAAATTTCCGGCCACTTGATTTCTTTATGCTCGTATATAACGAATTTAAGTGAAATAAATATATACTCGGTGGCAATTTCCTGTCTGTGCGATGTGCCATGCGATGGCTTGCCGAATTTATAGATAATTTTTCATGATTTTCCACCGACACATTTTCTCATTTTCCCTTCTGAATTTGTTTGTTGTTCGTCCATTGCAGATGCGCCCAGCAGCAGGTCTCCGCTGCCGCTGTCGGAGACGATGATGACGCCGCCTCTGATGCCGCTGATGATGATGAAGTTGCTGCCGAGGCAACAGTCCAACTGCTGACAGCCAAGTGCATCTGAAAGATACAAGATAGCTGCAGATACACAAAAGCGAAAGGAACAGTGCATTTCCTGCTGCTACCTAAACGAGAGGCAAAGATCTACAGACCCAAGAATCTACCTACATTCATTCCCGAGCGGAAAGGAAAGAGAGTGACACTCGTTACTCGTTACTCGTCGCTCGCTGCGTTCTGTTGATGTTTTTGCAGCCCATCACATCGTCATCTGCTTTCATTTCGGTCAAGAAGCGCGTTCGGGACGGCTGCACGTAAACGCACGAGAAAAATAATAAGTGAGCGCTGCCGGGAAGTGCGCGCGAGTGGGTAATCCGCCTCCGCCCCCAAAATAACCAAAGGGAGGAATACAGTGATACCATAATACAGTGAAGCGCGAGTGAGAGTGAAGTGGAAGTGGCCTGTGCCGTGTGCCCCCATCAATCCTTTCGTTCCGTTTCCGGGCAAATATTTACCCAATCCGATTGCGTGATTGGTGTTGACAAAGTGGCGTCCGCCCACGCATCCGACGGCGCTTTCAATTAGGAACAAAAGCTGCACGCTGCTTCTTAAATGTGCCACAATGGCACCGCCGTCCAGGACGACGACGAGGCTGCCATCACCATCAGCAACACCACCCGCTCCCTCACCATTCCGGATACTGCATCTGCTTTTGCTGCTGCTGCTGTTGGTCCTGCACCATGATGCCATCCGGCCAGTCGGCGCCGAGCCATACGCCATGGGCGGCTATGGCAGTGCCAGCGTCGCCAGCGGGGGCCTGGGCTCCGTGGGCATTCACATACCCGGGGGCGGTGTGGGCGTCATTACGGAGGCCCGCTGTCCGCGGGTCTGCTCCTGCAGCGGATTAACCGTCGACTGTTCACACCGCGGTCTCACCCAGATCCCCAGGAAGATCTCAGCAGATGTGGAAAGACTGTAAGTGCAACCTAATCGATAAATATCCTGTATAGCCTCTCCCCTCAGTGGTTACAGAAAATATGGAAGATATTAGACAAATATTTATGCCAAAAAATATGTGCAGAGAAGAGAACTTTCCATCAAAAAGATTTCTGTACGCAGACCTATCCAAATATTTGTGCAAATTTCATTCTGATTCATTTTCAAATATTCTTGCCATAAATTCAATGAAAAATTCACATTTTCCATCCACACAATCATTGGGAATGCCCAGAGAACAATCAGAAACACATTTCGCCTTCTCCCCGGAGAGGAAAACAAAGATTTCCGCTCAAACCAGACACAATCCCCAATCAATATCAATACCTTTCAAATCTGTTCAAAGACTTCCTTTTGGGCTGGGTCTGGGGCTAGACTAGACGACCCGACCCGACCAATGCGGCGTGACAAATGCCAAATGCTGTGAATGCTGCGAATGCTGAATACCCTTGCCGGGCCAATTGTTCAAATATTATGCACACTCTATTAAAATAATAAAGCCCCGGCGGCGGTCCAGACCAGACCAGACCAGACGCACGCACACGACCGATGATGGTCTGATTGTTCGGGGTTCCGGCCGGGATTGGTCTGGTTCTGAGTTCCGTTTTGTATTTATTTAAAAATCTACATAGTCAAACAACAACAACATAAACAGGAGCTGGGACAGAGAGAGAGACAGAGAGAGAGAAAGAGAGGGGTCAGGGGACAAACAAAGCCATGACCATGTCGTCGTGTCGATAACGAGAAAACAAACGAACGCAAAAGGTCCGATGCCAAGTGCCATTCCCCTCCCCTCCCCAAACAATTTTAAGGTCCAAGCGCCCGCACACTTTTTGAAATCAGAGTTTATATTCGTGTCTCTGTCACTGTCTCTCTATCTCCCTCTGGAGACTCTCCGCTGCTGTCTATCTCTCTCTCTCTCTGCCTCTGAGTTGCTCTTACATTAAATTGCCATTAAGTTTATTAATTGTCGCCGAAGGAGTCCCCCCCATAAGCGCATCAGGGGCACCGCCACAGCGACCAAACCATAATTGTTGCATGCCGCGTCGACTCAAATGCATTAAGCCAATCCCAATCGTTCGAGCCAGTCGTACATCTCTGCGTCTCGGTCTCCCTGTCCATTGCTCACAGTCGCCACATAAATTAACGCGCCGGCAATTAGCAAGTGTATGCAGAATGCCTTTCAACCTCTGCTGCTGCTGCCCCTCCCCTCTTGGCGGCCCAAAAGAGACCTCAAAAGCCATGCTGCTGTTGTCGTGGCTGCAGTTTTTCTACATAAATTAATAACAGATACTCGTATCAGCCGTAGCCATAGCCGAGCCGTAGCATTATAGCCCAGTTCAGTTATAAGCAGTCAAACAGGCAGCAGCGGCAGCGGCAGTGGCAGTGGCAGCCATCGTTGAATCGCTCTCGAGCGGCGCTCAGGGACACATTTGGTATTTATTTGTTATGTAGCCTTTTATTTTTTAATGCTGCCACACAGAAATAAACGAACAGAAACAGAAAACATATCAACATGCACGACATATTTGCATTTTAAAATAGCAATACTCTGAAACCCCAAAGCACGGGAATGGGAATGGGCATGGAATGGGAATGCACCACCAGCACAGCACAGCACAGGGTGCTTCAGGCTTCATCGCTTTGCAAGAGAAAGATGTCACATTTTGAGTGACATTCGTGGGGAGAGTGGAGGAGAGCGGGAGCGACTTGTGTGTCAGAGTGCAAAGAATGTGTCAGGCAGGAGACCTGAGAAGAGCTTAGAGAAAAGCTACAAAGCAGGAGAGCGCAAACGAAAAGTGGAGCCAAAAGGTGAGCAAATGATGGAGTGGTGGATGGAGGGCATTATGATTTCAATAGATTATAAATAATGGTCGGTGGAGAGGGAGATTTCATTGAAAGCTGTCAAAGGGAAACTTATAAGTAAAGTGAGTGAAATTCGATAAGGAATTTATTGAGAATTATTTCAGTTAGATTATGCTATACAACGGCACTAACAAAAGCCTCTACTCGAAGTTTGTTTAATTTGCAATAATTCCTTTTGGAATATTCAATGACTGCAGCTTGAGGCACCCTAATGCCGGACAGAACCAGAGCACACACACACACACACACACACATACCACAAATATTGAACAACTATTGGCCTGTCGATACACAGAGACAGACAGGGGATAGAATGAAAGCAAAAAAAAACAATGGAAAATGCAAACTGGGGCTCGGGCAAATTCTAGCACCCCTCGGCCCATGCCTCACCTATGGACAAGTCATTGGCATTTAATTACACAGAAAACGGAACTAGACTGAACCACCAACGAGTGAGTGAGGGAGAGAGGAAAGGAGGTGTGCAGATCTAAGCTCTGACAGGCAGCTCTGTCCCTATTCCTGTACCTATCCCTGCCCCTTTTACCTGTCCCTTTCCCTTTGGCTGTCACCCACACAGTTTACTCGATTGACACGACAGCATTTTTGCATATCTAATGTTCGGGAGAGGGGCAGTGGGGGGAAAGGGTCTGTCGGGGTCTCGTCTCTCCCTTTCACACCTGGGAACGACTAATTTATAGCAGCAGCTGCTTCCCCATTGCTTGTGCCTTCTATACCCTGATTGCAGTTGGGTATTGCTGATCACATCAGATGTTTGTTACGGCAGAGAAGGAAGAGTTGCGGATTCTGACATGAGGTAGGAATGTGCTGTGTGGTACATCATGTGTTGCTGAAGATGCTTTTCATTCTCATATGTATCCTCCTGCCATAGGCAACATGATTTTAAAAGGGTATCCAACGTTATTCTTTCTTTCTGGTTATTCTTTGAGCTGCTGCTGATGATGCTGCTCCTGCTCCTCTTGCTCTGGGCACACATCAAAGAGAGCCACAAAAGAGCAAAACCAAGATGGCACCTAATTGGGAAGGAAGGTTGGCCTGGTCTGGCCTGGCCTGGCTGGGGCAGCACTTGGGCGTCAGGCGGCTGGCAGCAAAAACCAACAAAATCAAAAGCCAACAACACAACCAAAAGCTTTCGTATCGGAGCGACCGAGCCCCACATAGGATTTAATGAAGCTAAATATCTAAATGCTTAATTATAAGCCAGAGAAAAACGGCAAAAATTATGCACAAGCCAACCAACAATGATTTAAACAAATTACACGTGAAAAAAGCAACACCACCGCCACAACCAGCACCCAGTGCCAGAAGCATTTGAAAAATGTTCAGCAATTAGGCAAAAGATAAAGACAAAGTGAGAGGAGATGAGACGGAGATTGAATGGGGCAAAGCTTTTGTTTTTTGTTTTCGTTTTTTGTTTTTTGTTTTTGTTTCACTTTTACAACAAAAGCAAAACCGATCGAAAATCGCACCGCATTGTTGGTGTAATCTGTTGGATCTAAGCGAGAGGAGATGATGCCCACAGATGTGGAGAGATATTAAGCTCATTAAAATGTGTGTGTCTGTGTTCCTGTGTGTGTGTGTGCGAGAGAGTAGAGCGCAAGAGAATACGGGCTTTGCCTCTTGCTCGAAGACTTCGTCTACACTGGCGAAAAAATTGTCTTCCAAAGATAGGTCTATCCTTGAAGATATATGTAAATCGGCGAACAGGAAGTGTTTTCGAAAGCCATTCTGGTTTCCGATTGTAAATTCTTCAGTAACCGCCATAAAGTTCTTATAATAAATTCGAAATTCTGCAATAACAATAGCTCTTAATAAACATTAGTGCCCAAGCCCTTAAGCCCTCTATAAGTCGATCCTTTTTGACTTAAAATCGATCATATTTCTCGAGAAGTAGTATAGTTTTCTCAGTGTACCACGTCTGGTGTTCGCGGTGCTGGGCTGGCAACTTGATGCGGGATTCATTAAGGCTTAAGCCTGAACAAAAAATATTTTACGTTTCGGGTCGCTGAAGGTCTTACTACCTGTTGGAGTTGGTCTCGCGGGTCTCCGTCTCGAACCTTGCTCAAAATAAGCAGCTGAGAGACGACGGACCGGACCTCTGTAGTTGTTGTAATCGTTGTTGTCTGTAGGTGGGTGGGGAGGGGACGGGGAGGGTGCCTGAGTCTGCGCATGTGCACACGGTTCGGTTCGGTTCAGTTCGGACTTCGGTTAAGATCG